GCCTTTGTCCGGCGTGACCTCAGGATGCCTGTCTGTCTGGATGACAAAGGTAGTGACTCACTTGCTCGGCCATCCTAACATCTCTCAACGATGGCTCTTTCCGCCAATTCCGAAAAATGACAGCAAATTCGGCTAGAGATGTTTAGCAGAAGCATGGGTCCAAAACAGCGACTTTCGGGAGCAGCCATCCGAATTTGGTGACACCCGAAAACTATAACAAATTACCCGTCAAATTAGTGGTAAACCCTCAACACCCTGGTAACCCATTCGCAATGTGAATGACGGCTTTTTTGCTGACAACTTGGCCAAGGTCAATCGCTGGCCCGAACACTTCGATCACCTCCTTAACTTTGATGAGCAGTCCATAACACCCTCCCTCTGCTCCGCAGCGGATTTTCGACCCTCTCCAGCCTATGCAGTGTCGCGTGACCTCCATTCCGAAGACGAAGTTGCCGATGAAATGCAGAGTCTGCGCAATGACAAGGCGTCAAGAAAGGACGATAGTCCCACTGAAATCTATGAGGCTTGTGTCGGCACTCTGGTTCCTAGGCTTCGTAAGGCGATTGGACGAGCGTGGACAGATCAGGCCGTTCCTGATAACTGGGGCTCAGGAATCCTTATACTTGTCCACAAGAAGAATGATACGATAATTTGTGAGAACTAAAGTGGCATAAGTCTTATCAACGTTGCTGCGAAGATCTTCGCTATTGTTCTCCTCAGGCAATTCTCGTCTGTGCCCAAGTCTAGGACGCAACCCAACCAAGGCGGATTCCCCGCTGAGCGTGGATGTACAGACCAGATATTCACACTGTGACAGATCCTTGAAGTCCGACAAAGGTCGTCTATTTTTTTGACTTTGTCGCTGCGTTCGATTACGTCAACTCTGAATCTCTGTGAAGGAAAATGGCAGTAGACGGTCGCCACCAATAATCATAATCAAAGCAAAGAACTCTTCCACCACTGCGTGGGACGTGGTCCATAGTAGCCCTCCAGAACCTATAACTATTTGATCCGCATTCGAGAAGGCTGCGTTCTGTCGCCCATTCTATTCAACCACATCATTCATTTGATGGTTAGAAAGGCCCTACCTTAGGAGGTCGGCGTTAACATTGTAACCGGACGCCGGCTGACTGATCTCGACTACGCCGATGGTACCGGTTTACTAACTCCAAGTTTTGTAAACCTATGGTTTGTAGTGTTACGAGTGAATACGATCGCTGTGTCGATTGGCTTGCCCATAAATACAGAAAAGAGTAAGGTATTCTTGGGCTGCCTTCCAGTCCAGGAAAGGACACCCCCGGGTGTAATCGTCGTAAACTTAAAGGATAAGAGGAAGACAGCTTTAAATATCTCGGGGCGAGGCTGCGACCGAATGAACTGAATAAGGAGGACATTTTTACCCTAATCGATGTTCCTCGTCGGGTCTTCCCAATCCGCTGAACGCGCCTGAGGATCCGATGTGACCTTTCCACCATCACGAAGACCCGTGTGTACCGTACAGCCGACCAGTCAAACCTCCTCTTTGAATGTGAATGTTGGGCGTTGCGCGTGGAAGGAGAGCAAAAGCGAGAGGTTTTTGAGCACCGCCGCCAGAGGACCATCCTTCGAGTTTGTTTCTACTCAGGCAGTCCGCACTTGCTGCGACAGTATCGCGAGTGTATAACAGACCATCCAAGATTGACGACTAGGGGGGTCTGGGTACGTTCTCTTTCGTCCGTCTCGCGAGCTTTGCTACGCTGCCCACGATACGACGCAGCAGTCAGTCTGTAGGCGCCGAAGAGCTGCACAACTCAAGACTTGGCTCCAAAGCATTGGTCAAGACATGGAAGTGGTTATTAGACGTTTGACTTTGGGTCGCAGTCGATATAGAAGAGATTTCCAGATCCGCGTTGGCCAATCGTCACACATGGAAAGGTACCATCTGTTACATCAATGAGGCTACTAGCTAGATCAGGCATGATCGCAGCCGTAACTAGAACGAGTTATTTCAAATGCCTTATACGTATTATGTAATACTATTTGCACAGTATTGTAAAATCGATCACGTGACTTAAAACCATGCATTTTCAGACAAACCTAGATGCCGCTTTCTGAGTGCACGTCATCTCGGTCGTTTTCAAAGATCGCACTCTGTCAAAACAAACTGTGAATAAACACATACACTTAATGTTTTTTAAATTATGTTAAACGTTCTCACTAAGGAAAGTATGTATGCTGAAAACGGTGTATAATTGTTTCAATTTTATAGGAAAAATAACAATCCAATACGCATTCATTCAAATCGTCATCAAAGGAAAGACTACTTTTCAACTTTAGATATTTTCAAATTATGAAATTTTTGTAGACTGTAAAATTTTCGCTTCGTCCGCCAAACGTCACATATCTTCACATGCAGCGGCAAACACTCAACAGATATGCGTTTAAGGTATGGAATTTCAAAGTTGATCATAGATATCTAATACA